TCTCTCTCTCTCTCTCTTTCTTGAGATATGGTCTTGCTGCATAGTCCAGTCTGGCCTCAATCTCATTCCTCAGCCTTTCATGTGCTAGGATTACAGGAATGTACCACCACCCCTGGCTTAGACTGGGCTTTTTTTTTTTTCTTTCAGATGATTGGGTCTATGTAGTTCAGGCTAGTCTTAAACTTGCTATGTAGTCCATGTTGGCTTCATATTTGTGGCACTCCTTCTGCCTCAACCTCCCAAGTGCTGGAATCACAGGTGTGTGCCACCACATCTGGCTTGGACTGGTCTTGAGGACAAGGATACTTACCTTTTTCCCAGGACTGTATCTAATTAGGTTTTAGGCATCAGATAGATTTAAGGGGAAGAAAAAAAGAATCAAGATGCAATATGTGCATGTGCCAATTCTCCATGAGGAGTGTTATATATCACAAACATGCTAATAAAAAAAATGTAAGTGGGGTGTGGTGGTGCACTTACTAAGGAAGCTGGGCGGATGATTCGAATCCACTAGTTGAAAACCAGCCTAAGCAACATAATGAGATCCTATCTGAGAACAAACACAAATGAATTTAAATGAGCCAAGTTTAAGTATTTTCCAGGACCTAGAAAGGTGCTTTGAGAACTCTGAGGTGCTTTGAGAATATATCCTGAAGAAAATAACCTGACCCACATCCACCCCAATGTAGCAGAGGCTCAGGAGACCAGGTTTCATGCCAGGGACCAGGCCCTCATTGCCGGGGGAGTGGGGAAACTGCTAGACCTGTCTATCTGCTCTGGATCCATATCTTAGTGCCATTCTTACTGATTCTTTTCTTCTTGTCTTGGAGGTGCCAAGCACTGGTTTGTGGATACCCAGGCAGAACTGCAGTGCCTAATGCCATGAGCGTGGTGGTGCAGCATGTGGAGGAGAAAGCTGTGCACTCCTGGTCGCGCATCTCCACAGCAGGGAAGAAGGCCCTGGAAGAGGCGCTGCTTGTGTTTAACCCCATGAGCCAGGATCTCAGTGCCACAGAGGCCCAGCTTGTGGCCTTCCTACAGGGCCTGCGAGATGATGGTTTCCAACCTACCATTCTTCGTAGCCGTGATGTCTATGGCTATAGTTCATGCACAGCCAATCCCCCAAGTCAGACGAAGCTACAGGCTTGTGCCCCCAACCCAGCTGCCACATCACCTCCAACCAGTGCTCCCCGAACTGCTGTGCACCTGCCCACAGGCCGGGCTACCCTGCTACCCGTGTCTTTGTCTGGCAGGCTGGCCAAAGGGTCTACACCAGCTTTCTCCAAGCATACTACTACCAATCTGCTGCTGAGCTCTCTGAAGCAGTCAAGTGCCAGCCAAACAAGGGGTGCAACAGTGGGCTTCCCCACTCACCTATATCCAGGTGTCTACCCTGCCATGCGGCTTTCTGTTGTCCTTGAGGCCCTGGTTCCACTCAAGAATCCCATGCCCTGCTTGAGTGCTAAGCACAAGACACAGTCACTGCAGCTCTCACTCACAGACTCTCCTTTGAAACTGCGGAAAGGTTCAGGGAAGAGTCTAGAGAACCCCCGGTCCAAAGCTCCTAGAAAAACCACAAGCAAGGGCCCCACTTGTCTGACTCAAAAAGGTTCTAGATCTGGACCCCAGCAAGGCACTGGGCCCCAGAAAAAGACCTATAGAGCCACTGGCTCTTTCCGTGGTCTGCAAATGAAAGAAAGCTCCACCCTGGGCACGAAAATAGCACAAGTCAAGATGTCTCAAACACTGGCCAAAGTTGCCCATGCCCACACCAGTATAGCTCGAACACAGGCCAAGGCCAAGGCAGCACGGGCCAAGGCTAAGGCCAAGGCAGCACGGGCCAAGGCTAAGGCCAAGGCAGTACGGGCCAAGGCTAAGGCCAAGGCAGCACGGGCCAAGGCTAAGGCCAAGGCAGCACGGGCCAAGGTGGCTCAGACCCAGCCTAGGAGCAAGGGCAGGGCAAAGGGATCCGTTCAGCCCAGGATTTCAAGAAAGGTCCCGAAAAGCCACTCTATGACTCTGGGGCAGAAGAGGAAAAGAGCTGAGGAGGCAAAGGATCTCCCTCCAAAGAAGAAAAAACGGCTTGGGTCCCAATCTCCTAAATCCTGTCTGGGGTCAGGAACAGCAAAGCTGGTAAAGTTCCATGCCATAAAAGTGAACAGGCAGTCCTCCGATGATGAGGTTCGGCAGCAAGCCCAGCGGATTCTTCGTGTGAACCTGTCTCCTATAATACAGCTCCAGCCATTGATGCCATATTCGACATCCTGATTCCCTATTTCATACAGCAATGTTTGGAAAAATAGCCCAGCTGTTTGCGTGGCCAGTAGCACAGTGTGCCATGCCTATGGACTGCAACCTTGAACAATTCCGGGTACCTCTCCAGGGCCCTGGCAGCACCAGCCTTCTTTCAAAAATTGAAAGATTTGGGGTGGGGTGGTGGTGGGAGGGGTATTCTCATGGCGCAATGCACTGTGACTTGTTCTTGAAGTTGTATGTCCACTGTTCCATCTATCATGTTTTATACCTTTCCACCTTCCAGTCTCTCTGCCCACCCTCCATGGTCTTTTTGTACGTGTATGGCTACTGGTAGGCCAGCTTGAACAGCGAGGGAAAGTAGCTCAGAAACATCATTTTGAGTGATGAGGTGGGATTGTGGGAGTGGGCAGCTCCCAGGCTCTAGAGGAAGGGAAACTGAAGATGCTGGCTTCTGTAGGAATGTGTGAGAACCTTCCCCTGAGCATGGGCAGTACCAATATGATAGATCTATCTTGAGGCTGCTTTAGTTTCTGTCCAGTCAGACCACAAAGAATGACTATGGGTGGCAGTGGGGAACCTTGACAACTAGCAGTTACTAGGCCAAGGAAGGGAGCCTTGGTGGCATGGCTCCCTGGGGACCAAGCAGACAGCCCTTATCTCTGCTTTCTAAAACCTTGAAGCTTTTAGCTGGGTGTGGTGGTGCATGCCTGTAATCCCAGCATTTAGGAGGCTGAGGCAGGATTGCCATGAGTTTGAGGCCAGCCTGGACTACATAGTTCAAGACTAGCCAGAACTTCATAGTGAGACCTTGTCTCTAAAAAGCAAAATGAATAAAACCTTGGAGCTTTGGGCTTGTCTGGGGTGGAGCCTCTGCTCTGCTGAGAGTAATTAGCCTCAACTCCAGTTGTTGGCAAGAGGTTGGGTATTGAATCAGGACCATAGTGCCTGCTTTACTGACCAAAGAATTTTCATAGTTGGGTAGAGTACCTGTGGTACTGGAGCAAGGAGGATTTCCAGCACTGCTTTCCTCCTGGATTCTACATTCATCATCACCATGTCCTGGAACATAGGCCTCCCTGTTTTGAACATTGTCAGTGTGTTCTGCTTTGGAGAGGGCTGTGGACCCTGAATGGAACCAGCTGCCCCACCCATTTGCAGTCCTTTGCTTGGCTGCCTAGGCTCAATGGCAGTGGCTGGGGCCCATGGAATGAGAACACATCCTGAAGGCACTTGGAGACTGCCTTTTCAGGGCTGGGAGTAGGGGCTTCATTTAAATGAGAATCAGATTTTAACTTTATATGAGTGTTTACCTGGGCCCCTGTAGCACCAGCTGCTGGGATGGGGTGGGGGTGACCTATGGAGAAGCAACCCTGTGCTTTTAGGTGCCCCCATTCCCCTTGGGCTAGTGGATCTGTTAACATTTCCTGAGTGTTTCCTCCCATGGTTCCCCAAACTTGGGAACCCTGTTGTTCCCTGTTGTACTGTAGCCTGCAATTCTGATACTACTTTCCTCTGAGAGTTCTTTCATCCAGTTTAGTTATGGGGAATGACCTAAGGACCATACTTCTAAAAGCGTAATGGGGATAGCGGGTGCTGAGGATGCAGCTCAGTGCGAAGTCCTCAGTTGGATTCCTGGTACCAAAAACCAAAACAAAACACCCTGCTTGGAGACCACCCTAGATCCTCAGGCCTAATTTCAGTGGGTTTTGATTGTACTCTAGTTTTGTTGCTACTGCCACTACCAGTAGGGTTAGCTGTTTTCCTGAGAGCCAGCTGGAGGGGGCGGGGTGTCCCAAGAATCTACTCAGACCACCCCCTCTCCCAGTGCAAGCTCTTAGAACAGTTGCCTAGGAAGTGCCAGATCCCCCACCTGTTACAAGGCAGTTGCAAGCTGGGTGTGGTAGTGCATGCCTGTAATCCCAGCACTCTGGGAAGCTGAGGCAGGAAGATTGCTGAGTTTGAGACCAGCCTGGGCTACGTAGTTCCAGGTCAAGCTCATCTATATAGTGAGACCTTGTCTCAAGAAACCAAAAAAAAGGGGGGGGGGCAGTTGGCTATCCACTCAACCAAGCCTGGTTCACTTATTTCCAGAGCCTTCAAACTATCCACCACAGCCTAAGCCCTATTATATTATCACTCAAAGATGGGGGTGGTGCATGGGGATTTAGCTAGTGGTTTGGCCCCGAGTTCGATCCCCATACCCAAAAAAAAAAAAAAAAAAAAAAAAAAAAGA